ACCTCAACTATGAAATGTGATTAAAAAAGCAGACTTTAACTGACTATGATGCTCACTAAATCAGATCCAACTATCAAAGCAAAACCATAGTCCGTCAAGATTAACAAGATTCACTTATTGCCCAATGCCACTTCATGAATTTGTTTACATTAACTTCTTCACAAAGTAAATAATTACACCCATCGACCCTGTAAAGCAACCAACAATACTCAATAACCAGAAGCAATTATAATATTTCACACAAATCTGTTGGAGGCTCAATGAAATACTGAAGCCTTCTCATCCAAGCCAAAAAAAAAAACAAGTTTCAAAAGATTAAATGAAAAATAAAAGGAAAATATTAAAAAACGAATCGAATAAGTCTTCACCTCGATAACCTCAACAATCGTTCGAGTCACAACAACAGCAGCCCTCTCGGTATAATGCCCTCTTGCCACAATCCTATCAACAACTCACCACCCTCACACAACTCCATAACCAAGTGAACAACATGATCATCTTTGTAAGTATCCTTCAATCTCACGATATTCGGGTGTTTAGGCAAATGCTTCATGATCTCAACCTCTCGTCTAACGTCCTCAATATCAACTCTAGTCCTAAGCTTCTTTTTTGATATTGACTTACAGGCAAATAACTGACCGCTAGTTTTATCCGTACACAAATACATTACCCTAAACTCACCTCGGCCGAGCTCACGCCCGAGCTTGTAAAATTCCTCGATGTTATGCCTGGTTGGATTGTTCAACACATAAGATTTGTGCCCATCGTTTGGCACATGGCCATTGCTATCAGAAGCAAATAGATTTGGCTTATGCTTTCCCTTTATCTTATACATTTAATAAAAAGTAAAAAGATTAACAGATTTTTTAACAAATGCAACCAAACAATTCAATTGTAGAAAAAAGCACAAATCAGGGCTTTCTAGGATATACAAAATCCAGGTAGCTCCACCCCCAAAACACAGACATACACACACAGACACACAAAGACAAACACACACACACACACAGTCGTAAGCACAGCAGGAAAAAAGGCAAATACAAAGAAGCCAATATTTTAATGACGCAACAATTACCCATTAAGACGGCGGCGACCCTGAATCAGGTAAATGCGGCAGTTGACGGCGGAGCTCCTTGCCCTCGGTATGGCTCAGTTGATTCTCTTCACGCAATAGAACCGTGCGCCTTCAAGCTCTTCAACTGGAGTCCCTTCGCCATGGCCCTAGACTCCGCCGATTCCTCCGCACCCACACACCGTCCTCGATCATTGCTTTAATCTTCTCCAGCCGAGCCGTTTAGCCATGTCGACGCTTTGCTTCTAGCCGCCACGCGATCGTCGGCGCCGGGAGCTTGCGTGTGACCTTGGGTTATCTCATTTGTGTAGAAAATGAGAGAAAATGAAGAAAATGTGCGTGTGGGAGAAGTTTTGCTTTTCCACAAACAATTGTATTCAATTTGGTTTTGACTGACTTGATAGTTGCGTGCAAGAGCAGTCTTCAGCAGTAAAAGTAAACCAAATGTAAAATTACGATGACACCCCCCTTTAAAGACAAAGTAGAGTCATCTGAGGGGCAATTTAGTCATTTAAAAAAAGTGGCAATGAGGTAAATTAAAAGGGACACGTGTCAACTTCTTAAGGGCACTAAATGGGACACGTGTCGGCTTTTAAAGCACCCTAACTTATTCATATAAGATATAAGAGAGATATTGGTTTTCGGTTCGGTTCGGTTAACCGATCACAATTAGCCAAACTGAACCAAAAACTGAAATTTCTGAAAAATGTAAATTGAAAACCGAATCAAATGTTCGGTTTCGTTTCGGTCCAAACCAAATTCAAATTGAAAAATTTTCTTATATTACTAATTTTAAGGTTTTAAGAGATAATCCAAATAATTTTTACTTCATATTTCAAGTAAATAATATTGACTATTATATAATTAATATATATATATATATAATAAAAATTACCATTTACTAAAAATAGTGGTAAATTTTTTGAGAATATTTATTGCATACCTTTTTTAGTAACTTTTTGAATATATGCATTAATTGCTTCTCTATACACGTTTTTAAATAAGATCAAATCAGATATGATAAAAAATATTTATCGTTAAATAATTTTATTAATATTTACAATGATCTCATTGGTATCCATTATAATAAATTACAAAATTGATTTTTTGTGATTCACGTTGATAATATTTTGGTTAAGATAAATATTACAACATATTTTAAGTTTTAATAAAAATAAAAAGAAGAAAGAAGACGTACGACTTCTATAACTTTTATAAATAATAATGATGTTATATGACAACAAAGTTTATAATAAATAATAATATTAAGTATTATATGGTGAACAAGATAAGTAAACTGTTATTTTCTCTTATATGAAGTAATAAATATATATATACTAAAATTAATTTTATATTCGTTTAAATTTGTTAGTATGATAATATATTAATTATAATACAAGCTAGCCCTAAGTATTCATATTTAATGTTGTGACAAAAAAACCAACGCTGATTATAAGTGAAAAATAGATTATGACCTTATTATTTTTTGACTTAATGTAGATTAAAAGAGATAGAAAATAGATAAAAGCATATTATTTTTTAGACTTAAACAGATAGAAAATATGAAAATAACTTATTTAATATCTCTGTCATGTGTCCCGTGCATCAGACGGGTATGTACTAGTTATAGAATATAATATGTAGAAGACAGTTGATAAAAGTGGACGATTTCCAATTATTAAAAGTGGCAGCCTAGGCCCATACTCGGCCCAACAAGGATCCTCCCTTCGGCCACATCCATTTAGCCTTCCTCAAGTTAGGGTTCATCAGAGTACCAATCCTTCTTCTTCCATTAATCCCATCTTTGTTCTTCGTCCTCGCTCAAATCCATCCATAAGCAATTCCCTCCTTTTTTTTTTATTTATTTTCTTTTCCCTTAAGAAAAAAAAAAAGCAGTCTTTAAGAATGCCTGTAGATGTAGCAATCCCGGAGGAAAACGCAGAAACAGCCGAGGAGCGAGGCGAGGACCACCAACAATTTCGTGATGCATTAGAGGAAATGAAACAAGTCGAACGCTGTCTTTTGTTTACACCAGGCCCTGATTTCGCCATAGCTTGCTCCTGCAACGATTGCCGTCTCAAAATCACAGAGCTCGAGCAGTTTGAGGAAGATATCAAGTCTACAAAAGAACTTGTCTTGGTGAGTAGTACACAATCAATCAATCAATCAATCAATGGGTTTCCGTTCTGGGTTCTTCAATTACCTATCTATTTATTATTATGTTTGAATTTGTGAGTAGAATTACCTTGGCCAACTGGGAAGGGATGAATCACTCTGTCTGATCCTTGTGTCCACCGCACAGTGGACAATAGATATCCTTGATTTGCTTTTCCAACAACTCGAAGCATTATTTGAGGTAGTACTAATCTGTGTCTTTCTCCCCTTATTCATCGTATTTTTCATGTAAAGATAACATTTTTAATTATATTGAATTTCAGAAGAAAGTTCAGCTTCCACTTAAGATAGAAGACCCCGAATATCCCAAAATGCGTGTTGTCTATTTAGAAATGGTGCAGATGCTAAAAGACAATGGGTTGATCCATAGCACAGAGCCTCCTGAATGTGATCCAGAAGCTTATGCTCTCCCTATTGCTTATAGAATCGATTCTGGGGTAACATAATTGGTTAAGAAGTCATTTTTATTGCTTTCAGAATGAATGAAACAATTTGATTCAATAGTTTGATTTTATACGTTAATTTGTTAGGGACCTATTGTTAATGGTTGTTCATCCCCTTGACAGATTTATTATTATAAGCAAACCAAAGCCAACATTAAGGCTTTTGATCTCCTCCAAAGCTTTGCTGAGATCGAGCAGAAAAAAGTAGCCGAGGAAAAAATGCTTGACGCCGCAATTTATAAAGGTTTGATTGAACGCCAGATTGAGGTAACCGTACCTATAACTCTAGTAAAGATATGTACCATAGTCTGAGCCTTTTATGTTTCTTCTTCCTTTTTTTATGCATCTCTAATTGCGCCTGTTTTTATGTATATAAATTATTATAGTTGATAAAACAACTTCCAATGGAGGACCTGTACTTTGAAGCACAAGAGCTCATTCCTAAAGTATGCCCGGTTGACGAGAATAGGCTAATGGTGAGAGATGCAACGGTGTATATTGCCAAGACTAATCGTGCTATCATTAGAAAAAGAAAGAGTTTCTGGCGCCAATTTCAAGCGGTATACTTTGTTGTTTTGTTGCTTAATTATGTATTGTTTTAGTTGGCTTTTTGTTGAGCTTAAAACCTCTTCTTTCATTTTTATCAGCATCCTTCGTCGGAGGACGTGGCGGGTAATAAACACAATGGATTGGACAAGACACTCAACTTATTGCTCACCATGGTAGGTTGAATTCTGATGTTTTAAGCTTTTAAATTAGTTCTTTCTTTTTTTTTTTTTATTTTTTTAATTGGCGTTAATGATCAGGTTGATGTGTTCAAAAGTCATTGGGATGGAGAGTATGACCCATTCTTTGCTCGGTTTGGTCGATCAGACCGTAAAAGGAAACGAAACTGTTGGTAGCTAGTTGTTAGGGAAAAAAGAAAGATAAGATTATTTGGTTTTTGCATGTATTTATTAGCAGGCAGCTATTTCGTTGTCGTATGGTTGAAGTTGTGATATATTATGTACTTATGTGGAGTTGACGAGTTTTGTTGAATTGGGCATTGCATGTCTTGTATTAACAATCTATATGCCGATTGCTGATTGGGTGAAGATGAACTTGAGAACATTGAGTGTGTAATGATGTTTGTGCTAGAACGTAAAAAATTACGAAACCTCTTTCGTCTTTTTGGATTTGCCTTGCGTATATTTCACATGATTTGTTGGTTGATTTCACATAATCGAGTGAATGGATGCTTAGAGTAATGACAGGGATTCTGGCATAAGTTAATCTCGCATGTCTCTGACTTTACATGTCTCATTTTTACCCTAAGAACAAGTTGAGACAATTCTAGAAGTTTTTTATCGACACATTATCGATGTGTTGAGACCGATTTTGTAAAGAAAAGCATGAGGATCTGAATAACAACACGGTTGGAGTACCTACAATTCTCCAGAAAGGGGGTAATAAATAAATAAAAATGAGTCCCTACTACCGAACATCAACTCCATCGTTTTCTTAACTCTCTAATACAATCCAAAAGAAGGAAAACTTGAAAAATAAAAGATAAGCTCCTACAACTCCATGCTATGCTGTTTCCATGCTCTGCTATTTCTGAGAACGAGAAGTGCCACTCGATCCGCCTCTGCTATTTCTGAGAACGAGAAGTGCCACTCGATCCGCCGCGATCTAGTTATTCAGCATGAAAAAATATATAAATAATAATAATAATAATAATAATAATAATAATAATACAATTATTAATAAGCTAATAAAATACAAAATAATCTAAAAAATATTTGATTTCGTGCTCACCGAAATTTTTAGCTTTCCCAACATTTTTAATCTTTGTGCCACCCGATCCTCCTTAATTTAACATGAAACAAAGCAATAGTAAGCTAAGATATATATTATATAGTCATGAGCAATACAAAAATTATATAATAATTATATAATATAAAAAACAAACTTAAACACAGCAAAATTAAAAGCTTACCGAGATTCTTAGCTTTGAGACAGTTTACAGCATCTTTTATTTTCTGCGCATTGTCCAGACTCAGGCACCGGTCTGCCCGCTCATCGCCATCCAACACAATCCGTGGCCTAAACGTATCAGTTAAGTTGTTCTGCTCGTGAGCCCTCTCCGACATCGTGCCCCAATTA